AAACTAAAAGCCCATGGATAAAAACACCCCATGTAATCACACAGGAACAGTAACCAAAAAAAGAGAAAAGGGAAAAAAAGAGGAAAAAACAAGCAAACCTGCAATCTCTGGGGACAGGGCTATATCCTTCAAGTTCTTGATAGTGGCACTAATCTGTGAAATCACTCTAGGAATGTGATATTTTTCTTGGTTTACTATTTTCATAAGTAGACACAGCTCTAATGGCTTCCACTTGGTTTTTCCTACCATAATAGTCCTTATTCCATATGTCAAGAATCTAGTGTGGGGATTCTGCCAGTTGCCAAGTATGTCTATTCCAATTATGCATTCTGAAACTGGAGTAATCACTACAAAGTGGATTCAGGAACCCACTGGACCCACCACGAGATGGACATGTGCTAAGACTTCTTTGATAAACTGACCTCCATACACCCCTATTCTGATTGCTGGGCCCTGGTGACACTCTGGATTTCATGGAATTAGTGTCAGTTCAGAGGAAGTATACAACAAAAAGTCTGATTATTTCCTTTTCTTCAATCAACAGTCTCTTTTGTAAAAGGTTGTGGATCCCTTTTGGAGAAGACTGGGAGAAAGATTAACAGTACAAATTTTTGGTGGAACAGTGGGATCCTTCCTCAAGGGGATCCAGCCTCCCCTTCCTTCAAGCAGTTTTAGATCTATAAAGTGGTTCAAGTCTGAGAACTGATTGAGGGACCATGACTCTCTATTCTGGTGATTCAAAATAGACTCCTGTTCACTTGGCCTATAATTCTTCCACTTGTACACAGCAAGTAAATACGTAATAGATTTTCCATCTATTTCACTGCAAGGGAAACCATGACTAAGTTGTCCATGCCATAAGTCCATTCAAGTCATACTATTTGCTTTGACTCTCCTGTCCATTGTGGTAACCATGCCTACCTTGTCTTTTAGTGCCTAAGGTATTTGACTGCTAACCAGAAGTCTGGCAGTTCAAACCTGTTGCTTAAAAACACCAGGTGATTCCTGGAATATCATAAAATATAACAAGTGGTGTAAGGAGAAGCCAGAATATCATAAAACTAGCTAAAGTGTTGGGGACATTTTCCATTAGGAAAATGTTTTATATCTGTTTCAGAAAGAAAGCTCACAGCAATGTGAAGAATGAAACATCCCAGAGTGTATGATTTTGTGTATATCTGTCTTCCTCACTAGGCAGGGTTCTAGTAGGTAGGTGTGATGTCTTATCTATTTCTGAGTACCTGTGTGGAGCTAGTGCATAGTTTCTGGTTGGAAAATGGGGCTGTGATCAGAGTCATCAGTTAAAAGTCTGCTTCAACAGTCCCAGTGAGAGAGATAGAAGTCTTAGTCTAGGAATAATGAGATTGGAGATGTGTAGGTCCATTCAAAAGATGTTTTGAAAGCAGAGGAAAAAGGATAGGCTTGATGATGCTTGGAATTCTTTTAACGGAAGATAATGTCTTTTATTAAACTACTAGAGACAAAAAGCTTATGAGTTGGATTTGTTCTGGTTACCTAGTACCACGCTGACAGCAATATACCACAAATGGGATGGCCTTAACAAACAGGAGTTTGTTCTCTTACAGTTTGGGAGGCTAGAAGTCCAAGTTCAAAGTACCAGGTTCTAGGGGCTGGGTGAAAGCCCCTCAACCTTGGGCTTCAGCTCTGCATATTGCTCCCAGCCCACTGAACCCAGAGGCATCTCTTCACTCAGGCAGCTACTGGCTGCTGAGGCTAACAAGCCTAAGATCGACAAATAAAATGGCACAGTCCCAATATTACCAAACCACATGGCAGGCCAGTAATTCAAGTCCATTGTAAGTCCCAAGCTTGGCAGAACATGGCAGGTTGCTGAACAATGACACACTACATGCAGGGTCCAAGTGTGCCATAAGTTAGAGATTATCCCCAAAGCTACTACTTATATATGGGAAGCAGACCACATACTAGATTCCACTATGGAGCTGATTACCAGTCTCATCATGGGGAATACTACATCCAGCTGCCCATCCACTCAACCAAGGCGAGGCAAGTTGACACACAAACTTAAGTATCACAGATTGAACTGTGTTCTCCTAAAATATGTATTAAAATACTAATCTCTATCCCTGTAGGTGTAATCTAACCTACTGTAATGTAATCAACTTCCATAATGTAATCTATTGTAATGTAATCAATCAGTTTAGGTCATATCAGTGTAGAATGGATCCTAATCCTAATCACTTCTGAGTTATACAAAGAGCAGCATAGACACAGAGGCATGTACACACAAACCAGGGAAAACAGACACCATGTGAGAACTGTCTACAAACCAAAGAACCAAGGAACACCTGGGACTACTGACAAGAAAGCAATTTAAAAGGCTGAGACCTGGATTTGGATTTTTAGCCTCCAGAACTTTGAGAAAATAAATTTCTGTTCTTTAAAGCCAACTATTTGTGGCATTTGTGTTACAGCAGCACTAAGTAACTAAGTCAGTAAATTTTAGCTGCCAAAGTGAAATAAAAGAAAGCCCCAAACTCATGGAATATCATAAAATATTCTGACTCACAGCCACCCTATAGGGCAGAACTTCCCTAAAGGGTTTCCAAAGCCGTAAATCTTTACAGAAGCAGACTGACACATCTTACTCCCACAGAGCAGCTGGTGCATTCAAACTGCTGAACTTTTGGTTAAATGCCAAATCCTTTATCTGTTTCACGACTAGAGCTCCTAAAGTAAATGACAGATATCATTTTTCTGGTTTAACAATGGGGAAAATGATGCAGCTTGGACATGTTGTGCCCCAGAAAGAAAGGTGTATCACCAAGGACAGAAGAAGAAAGACAAGAATGATACCATACTCCCTACCCATCTAACAGGGACTAGGGGTGGATAATATATAGGAGTGGGGTTGGAGAATTCAAGAGCACCAGAGAGGAGCATGGTTCTGACTGGCACAGAACCCTTCAGTAAAGGAAAAAACAAAGGACCAGGAAAGCCAAAAGCAAACTCTGCCAACTTCCAAATTTTGGGTGCAGTTGGCCCTATTTACCTTCAATCTTTGGAGAATCACAGAAGCTATCTGAGATCATGTTCCCTAAGATCTCACTATCATGAGACAGTTCTTATCTTTGGGCAATGAAACATAAACTAAAAATACTCAGATAATATAGTAGGCTTTTTAAAGATAGTGCCACATTTATGAAAAAGGAATTCAGTTCCTAGACAGCTTGTTAGTCAATATGAAGTTTTTAGTAGAACCTGTATTATTGTGTGAGAGCTTTGGTGGCAGTTCAAACCCACCAGCCACTCCTCATTAGGAAGATTCGCAATCTATTTCCGTGGAGATTCCACCTCAGAAACCCAAGGAGGGGTTGCTATGAGTCTGATTGACTCAATGGCAGTGAGTTTGGGTTGTGTTTTTTTTTTTTTTTGTCT